TGGCTGTATACACTTGTTGATTTGGCTAGCAGCCGACACCAATGGCGTTCATGCTGTGAGTTTCTTTGTCCGTCCCATACCTCAGCCTCCCGCTCCAACTACGATCTTATAATTAGCCTTCTAGAATTTTGCACAGTAATATTTTTTTGCTGCGTATTAGCCGGTTGGTAGTTTACCGGAACGATGCCCATCCGTTATCGGCAGATCAGCTGGCTTGCACCTGTTGCATATTTTCCCTTTTTTGTGTCGCGGCTCAGGAACTAAGGCGTTTCCCACCTCTAGCTGACGTGTATAATGAGGATAATGAAAAATATTCACCGATTACGGGAGTTGACAAAACCAGTTCGGATGCGGAGTGCAAAGCGAGTGTAACCGTGCGTTCTGCGGTCGATTCATTAAACGACATCTCAATCATCTCTTAGAGCCTGTGTGATTCAAGTGCTATGCGAAGATATTCCAGTTCTCTTCAGCAATTTGGACTTGCACAAGTCCAGTTCAAATTTGGTGGAAATGATAACATGGCTGCAAGCCTAATCGAAGTCCTTACGATTGACTTATGGTGCGCGTGCTACTGTCGCTGCAGACGCATTGCTCTTAAAAGTATGTATAAATCACAGTCCTTTCATTTGTGGCTCTAGCTACTAATCTTTTTATGCCGAAGGGATACAAATGGCTCAGTACATAAGTTAGGAAGTGGTAATGGAATAAGTCTTTATACATATTAAGGATACGTCAAACTATCGACCTTGACGGTTGTTGTGTACTTGGCACATATCTGTGGAAAACGCGAATGAACGCACAAAAATCAGCGATTTTTGTTAGAGTTAATCAACACTGTGACCAGGGTTTTTGCGACTCTATTATTTACTTGCAATTACCTTTTCCCAGTACTGTAACTTGCACCAGCTATTTAACAACACAATACCGTTATATACGTCGGTGAATTACGCGCCCCTTAGTATGACTCGCTTAGTGAATGAAGCATAGTAGCTGTGCAAACATTGGCCTGAGTCTAGAAAACCGAGTGCGCAGAACCCAATAACATCCAAACGGAGGGTACTTTTTAATATATAAATGATTTTCGGTATCCACAATGTAGCTGAGTTTTCGTAAATAGCTTGGTTGCTGTTTGTCCAAAAGGCAGCCGCACAGGCGAAAATGCGAAGACGCTGCGGGGGTAAGATAAGTGTTGATGGCTCAAATGAGGCAAACAAGAACGTCGATATAACAAGAGCGATTTAAGAAGCAACCAACAAATACCCATGTAATCCAGGCATTTCCCTGATTGCTGAACTCACTTAGAATGGATTCGATGCGGTTTGAAACATAGATTCTTTTCTAACCTCAACAGTACGTTAGTGTATATATAGTACTGACGCCTTGCTGCCACGCAATTACCATCGGTCGCACGTGGGCTAAGGATACTTCAATAGCTGCCCTGTTCCTACGCGAGCTCAAACATGCACCTTCGGATTACTAGGCAGGCTTGTGATTCTTAAGGCTACGAACCGGATGTAATTCAAACTCGCAGCAGGTAATCTATACTCTAGATGCGATTTTAAGGGTGGTGTACCAAACGTTGTTTGCGAAGTATGCCTAAGTAGTTAGCGGCTCAGTAGACGAACACTGCTTTCCTGGTCACACTCCCAGTTCCAGCACTAACTACGTACATACTGCAAGCGAGTTGAAAGCTAGTTGTGAGATGTACTTGTTATAACGCTGTGCCCGCAATCGACCTGTTGATTCACGCCTAATGGTAAATCTGCGCCCTTACGCCTGCTCTGTTTGACGCCTTGGCAAACCCGACAGGAAGGAAGGCAGAAGAAGACTCAGCAGACCAGAGTTGTATTTGGACAGAGAATGCTCATATTTGTATGTCGGTCTCATCAACCCTCCAAACGTCACCAGGCGGATTTGACTGTAAGCCCACGCTCCACAATCGCTTGTCCGCTCCGTCTATCCAGTTCACCGTCTTGCTCGGCACTCCAGTCTTCGTCCGCCTACCCGGTGCAAGGCAACGCACGTGATGTCTGACGCGCGATTTCATCAGCTTCCGTTCAGGCCTTGGCAACGCGCCTGCTGTCTGATGCGCGATTTCATCAAGTTTCGGCTGGGTCCTGGCAACACGCTCGCAGCGTATTTCTCAAGCCTTATTTGTGGCAAACACGCGTGCATTGGCAATCAGCTTTCTCGCACAGCTGTCAGTACTACTGTGAACAAGCAACACGCATAACCACAAAATTGACATTATATCTATGACAACCTGACGGATGAAGCTGACTGGTCCCGAAAACTTCAATAAGCAGAGTTTGCAGTCATCAGCGGCTGTCTTCTTACTGCTTCGGTTCATAAAAGATGCCTATTATTGAATTGGGCTAACCTTTGATGAAGCATCAGCAGTATGTCGGCACACTGTGCCGACGCTTCGCTACCAAACGACTACCACCAGTCGCATGAGACTGGATATCACGCGAGATCACTCGCACCAACACAGATTCGGACCGGTGACCTCAGGATTCCGACTCCATCGCGTAATATTTTCGGCCACCTACCGGATTTAAGGATGACTATTAAAGTGCAAACATGACGTCAGCTACTAGTTTCGCGGGGCCTTTAAATTGGCCACTGTGTTTTCATTAGAAAAATTTTTTCTCCTATCTACTGCGGATTCAACAGTTTCCTCCAAAAAATTTTAACTTTGTCAGAAATCACAGTATTCCAAGATCAGTACCGCTTTGATTTCTTGAAATAGAACTTTGAGTGCTTGCTACACGAGCAATCAACAAAACGCGTTTTCGTAGCTTGAATGATCCACCATCCCCCCCCCGATTGAGGAAAGGGTCTCCGACATTGTGTGTTCAACCAGAGGTAAATACCAATGAGTTAATCCATTGACGGGAATCATTGCCTGCATTTATGGGACCGCTTATTAGGATGACACTTGTGCATCCCTTGTCAGCTTTTTTCATCCGTACAACCTGCTTTCTTGAGGTTGCTAAGTTGCTTCATCCACAGTTTTTATTGTAAAATGACGAAATTGCACCCATGAAGCCTATATTGATTTGACTTGACTTGATCGCAACCGATGTGCACTAGAAGACGCAAAGCTGGGTAAGAGTAACCCATGCGAAGTGAACATCATTGCAATGATACGGTGGAAAACATAAAGATGGTTCAGAAGAGCACGTAGTGCAGCATACATCCATATGACTGAGAGATCAATGATTTTACTGAGACTGACGAGCAAAACTCAAGCGCATGCCAATGAGACCAGGTAGATGGAACAGGGGGCGAAAACAACCAATCAACAGATGAAATAGAGCCAACGCTTGACCAATTTAAATTCGTCAGTTAAGCAAGTGACACCAATACAAGCTCACAACAAGGACATGGTGGGTGGACGTAGAAGTATTAGTATTAGTAGTATTACTAGTAGCAGCAGTAGTAGTGGTAGTAGTAGTAGTAGTAGTAGTAGTAGTAGTAGTAGTAGTAGTAGTAGTAGTAGTAGTAGTTACTGCTGTTGCCGTTGCTGCTGTTGTTGTTGTGGTAGAAGTAGTAATATTAACAGTTTAGTACTAGACACAGAGCGAACATAAATCCGAAGAGATTAGCGGATATGAGAAGTTATCGCGCCATAATCATCTTGGCATGGTAGTTGAAGGTGAGCAACACACTTCAGCTAATATGCCGCAGGAACAAAGCAACATTTTGACAAAAAGTAGAACCTTTTTATTTTGTTATCCACACGCCGATTTTTCTTTTTTTATCACTTTCAACGATTGAGGCATTAGACATGTAAATTAATACCATACTCTCCACAATTCTTCCACTGATTCCGGTTGCGGACCATGTCTTCAAGAGGGTTAAGCAATTGGCACTCCTCATCTTTGGGTACCCGTCCTGTAAGAAGTTCGGATCCAATAGCGGCTAGACACGAAGTCCGGAATTTCTTTTGCTGCCCCCATGTAAAAGCCTGACCACCATGCGGTCGCCTCCAGCCAGTCTTTGACGAGCGAATAGAGCGCGATACGGTAGACGCTCTGGTGTCATACGTAGGACGTGACCAAACCATCTCAACTGGCGCAACGAAACCAGTTTGTTGAAGGGAATACTCGCATTTCCAAACATGCCACGTCGAACGTCATTGCTAGCAAATCGATGTTGCTACCAAACACGAGCAATACTCCTTAAGCAACTCTTATCGAATGCAGAAATTCGATGCATGTTTTCTACGCGAATCGGCCAGGACTCGCACTCATAAAACAATACTGAGCAAATTGATGCTCTGTAAACTCCGCCCCTTAGCCAGATTGAGACGTCGCGACGACGCCACAAGTGTCTCAGATCGACAAATGCTGATCGAGCTTTAGCTATGCGCAAAGAATCTTCTTTGTTAATAGTGTCGTCAGCAGAAACACAACTCACAAGTTAGACGGAATTCGAGGAATAGAGCCCAATGTGAGTCGCTGAATGAGCTTTCACTTCAGACGTCTTTTGCTTGGTAAATCATCACACATATACCCAATACTCTCCAGAAAATCAGCAAAATTGCGTGACTAAAATATCTCGCCGAGGTGAAACACTTTCGTCGAACACTTTGCTGAAACGGGGTGCACCCGGATCACCCAGCTAGAACCACGAGGAGGTAGTCCGCCAAGCCAACCACAGAGGGTACGGCGCAGATTGAGCAGGGTTCAAAATGGCTAAGAGGAGCATTGCGCACGATGGACGAAGCAAGACTAGCAAGCAGACAATGCAATGCAGACAAGAGAAATGAAGCCACAATTAAATATGGATTCGATTTTGTGTTCCATACAAATAATCTTCTATTTCATGAATAACGGATTGGATAGATAACCAGCATTTGTCCTGTTCCTCGGAGGCCTATCAGACAGTAAACTGAGACGATCTAAGTCCACTCACGGAAAGGCAGATATGTAGAACTAGAAGTCCCCAGCAAACATCTGTCACGTGTCGAAAAATTATGATCAATAGCACATTCAAATCACGGAAGTGTTGGAGCCGACACTTATCTACATGTACATGGTTAGATTACGGCCAATGTGAGTAAACATGAATATCGAATCAAGGCCGATCTCTGCTAAAAGTAAGTATAAACATCAAGTTAAAGCATTGATTTAAAATATTTAATACGATTAAACGGTTTTAGACGTATAGTGATTCCCAAATAAAACCTAGAATCATCTGTTGGACAATAAATGTACACTGCAGCACGCTAAGTTTGTTTATGTGAAGTGGTTAATATTTACCGTCTATAATGCAAAGAAGACAAGAGAAAAAAGACTCCTTTCCTTTATTAGCCCCCAGAATTAACACAAAAATCGGATCTCTAGGCAATTTTATGACTATTGGTCGGTTGAGAGTTCGTCAGCTTTATTTATTGAGTAAAAATAGTAACCATTACAGTTTTCAAAATGTTGTGTGGATTTAGGAGAACTGACTACGTAAGAACTGACACCTAAGAGCCAACTACTATCAACTGCAAGGGCTGTAACCTGCATTGCAGAGGAGGATAAGCACTATGCGAACAGATATTTATTAGCGCATTTTCTAAACATATGATATTCTAAGAAGGAACACAATAATAATACCACCTTGGTATTATTAGCGTGTTGCATATGATCACATCACCTACATAGAACCCGCGTCAATAATTCCAAGATGTGTACAAAAGATGAGCGTAGATTAGGTTTGTATGTATGTAAACACGGCAGTCTAACAACTAGACACGGAGCACAAAAATTTCAGAAGAGATAAGCGGATAAGAGGAAGTCAACGCGCCATAATCATCGTGGCATAGTAGTTGAAGGTGAGCAACACACTTCAGCTATTATGCCGTAGGAATAAAGCAACATTTTGACAAAAAGTAGAACATTTTTAGTTGGTTTTTCACACGCCGATTTTTCTAAGGTTGATAAGTCTTTCATCCCAACAGTTCACAAGCTATAAAGCAGAGCCTAGTCCGGAAAAGCGCCAGACGCGTTTCGCCCTATTGGGGCTCGTCAGTGGCGCGCATTCCCTCGGTCCTCTAAGGAGGATCGAACCCATGACCGCTAGAGGCAGATGCCAACTAGCCAGCAGCTTAAGCCACTGAGCCATGGGGAACGTTGGCTGGGCTACATAATTTGCAAACCAGCTGGGATATAGCACCACCTATCAACCACTGTCACTGACAGTGGTTAGCCTGCAAGGTGATGACGTCCTCTCTAGACGCTATATCTATAGCATTTGAAACTAAGAGAGGCATTTGCTTCTATAGTACTCATAAGTAGCAGGATTTTAGTTGTAAATTTGATAAGGCTTTCATCCCAACAGTTCACAAGCTATATAGCAGAGCCTATTCCGGAAAAGCGCCAGACGCGCTTCGCCCTATTGGGGCTCGTCAGTGGCGCGCATTCCCTCGGTCCTCTAAGGAGGATCGAACCCATGACCGCTAGAGGCAGATGCCAACTAGCCAGCAGCTTAAGCACCTGAGCCATGGGGGACGTTGGCTGGGCTAAATAATTTGCAAACTAGCTGGGATATAGCACTACCTATATATTTTATCATTTTCAATGACTGCAGCATCAAACAATGAATCAGTACCATACTCTCCACAATTCTTCCACTGATTCCGGTTGCGGACCATGTCTTCAAGAGTGTTAAGCCATCGGCACTCCTCATCCTTGGGTCCCCATCCTGTAAGACGTTCGGATCCAACAGCAGGTAGACACGACGTCAGGAATTTCATGTGCTTCCGCCTTGTAAAATGCTGACCACCATGCGGTCGCCTCCAGCCAGTCTTTTACGAGCGAATAGAGTGCGACGCGGTAGACGTTCAGGTGCCATGAGTAGGACGTGACCCAGTCATCTCAAGTAGCGCAACAAAAGCAGTTTGTTAACAGGAATACTCACATTTCCCAAGATGCGACGTCGAACGTCATAAATATTAACTCGATGTTACCACCAAACACGAGCAATACTCCTTAAGCAACTGTTATCGAAGGCAGAATGACAACGCATATCTTCTACGCGAATCGGCCAGGACTCGCTCCCATAAAACAATACTGAGCAAACTGATGCTCTATAAACTCAGCCCCTTAGCGGGAATGAGACGTCGCGACGACGCCACAATGCCTCAGATTGACACATGCTGATCGAGCTTTAGCGATGTGAAAAGAAACTTTTTTGTTAATAATGCCGTTAGCAGAAACACAGCTCCAAGGTAGACGAACCTATCTACCTGTTCAAGTTGTGCACCTTCGAGATTGAGCACGGGAGCAGATGAAAGCTAATCCTTGAGCAGTACTTTACACTTCGATGGGGCGATGCTCATGCATTACTTAGATGCTTCAACCGCCAACGATCCAGAATGAGTTGCATATCCTGAGGATTGTCACCAAGTAAAGCGATATCATCAGCCTAATATAATTCGGTCGCGCGCTCACCCGGTAGAGGCTGTGGGCCAAAATGTTGAAAACGTTCTAGAGCACTCAACAGAACGTCTTTGATTGCTAAGTTGAAGAGGAATGGGAACATATGGCAGCCCTGTCGCACACCGCTAATTACATCGAATTTCGAGGAAAACTTGCCATACACGCTCACCATACCGGATGTATGAAGGTAAAGTGTTCGTAAGATGGCGGTATATTTCTCTGGCACCCCGTTCTTTAGCAACCAACGCCATAAAGCAAGTCGATCAACAAATTCGAAATCGGCACGTATGTCTAGGAATGCAACGATAGTGAGGATGTGAAATATGGGGCGATGTACGATGAGTTGGCGGAGCGTGAATATTTGATCCACGCATCCGCGGCCAGGAAGGAAACCAGCTTGTTCTTCACGGTAGAAGGATTCGCGTACTGGGCATAGTCTGCGAAGCAGAATGGATGCCAATAGCTTGGAGGCGACCGAAATAAGACTGATCGCGCAATGATTTACACATGAATTGCGTGCGCCTCTCTTAAAAATCGGGACCATAAGTGATTCGCCCCAAGGGGAAGGCAGTTTCTATTCATGCCAGATTTTTGCGAACAATGAAGTGAGCTAGTTAATTATCTCCACACCGCCGTACTTGAAAAGCTCCGGATAAAGTCCGTCTGAGCCGTCAACCTTGAACCGCTTCAAGCATCGCATCTCGAGGCAGACTTTCGCTTCACCGGGTGGATTCAATGGGACGAGCCAGGGTGGACAACAAGGTGTACTGTTTGTACTGATGGATAGTGGAGGCCAATTGAACTGCGAGTGAAAGTGCTCTGCCTAGCGGTCCATACGCCTCTGTTGCTCGGTGATCGGAGACTCATACACCTAACAAAGGACTTCAATGACACCAGACTTCCTGAGGCCAGTGGACCGAATGAGTTGAAAAAGCTTGCGAGTGTTGCCAGGGGGGGCAGCGGTCTCCATCTCTAAAGCACTCGCAGATCACCATGTCTCGCGATCCTTGCGTAGACTTTGCTTGAGCAGCCGGTTGGCAGAACGACGCCGTTCGTTGCAACATGATTCCGCGCGGATATCTTTGCGGCGTTCGAACAGCTCCAGGGTAAGAGCAGAGATCCAAGCCTTTAAGTGGGGTCGAGCCAGGCCACAGCTGGACTGTCAGGAAATGGCCATCTCTTTCCTTATACAAGTCCGGGATTGCTCCAGTTCTTGCGGTGGATGGCTACTGAGTGTATTTGCCAGTGAAGACTGATAGCTCGCCTGAACAGAGGAATCAGTTAATCTGCTTACATCAATCTTGCGTTGCTTCGTGTTTCTAGACCCCCCAGAACACATACAGATTTTCGTGCAAACCAATGTGTGATCTGAGTCAAGGAAGGTGGACCAAAGAAACTTGCAGTCCACTACGCTGCCACTCTATCTTAAGCTAATTGCAATGTGATCAATTTGAGACCACGGTTGTGTTGAAGAAGGGGGATGCCGCATTGCGGAACGCTTCCTCGTACGCCTGAAGTTAGTTTTGAAGCGAAACAGATGGTTTTCTTCACACCATGTGAGAAGCCTCTCTCTGTTATCAGAGCGGTTCCCATCGAGCGCATGATGACCAACAAGATGGCGTTCTTACGGTAACAGGTGGCCTACCCGTGCATTAAAATCCCCAGCAAGGACAACGACATCCGATATTTTGGCATTAGACAAGAGCTGATGCAGATCCCGGTAGAATTCATCCTTAATCGATTCGCCACTGCAGTCAGTTGGAGCGTACACGGAGATCACAAACAAGTTGCGTCTCTCTTCGAGAAGCCTATTGGTCCCTACTGAGTTTAGCATGCACAAATAAAGCGGCAGGAGCTTCAGCTGCTAAGACAAGCCCAGCATCATCTTTTGCTCGTCCGGTATGTGAATGCTAGCCGTTTCTATGATCTGTCATGTGAAGTTCAGCTTCCCTCCTCTGCGTATACGCGCTGTAAGTTCCTCGACTAACATCGATAAATTTGCACCAGTGAAGGTGGCATCGTTGATGATCATTGCGTGAACGATGCATCGGTTATCAATTGTCACAATCAGCGTCAACGTGAGGCATCTAAATGTCGGTAAGAAGACGTTCTTGTGTAAAGCTATGTTCGTCGCATATGGAAGATGAAGCCGCTCTTATCTGTGGCAATCCATATCTTTTTGTCATTCAGTGTGTGTACCCAGAAGTCAACAGCATATACCTAATGAAATAAGAAAATACTAATGTGTCAGCTGTACACCGTAACGGCTTTTCGCTGCCGCGCGACCTCCACCAGTCGCGCGCAGGCTGAGTATAACGCGAGGACGCCAACCCTCTGGGCAGATTCTAACCGGTGACATTATGGTTGCAAACCAGTTGCGCAGAAAACTCGGCCACCGGTCGACCAGCATATACCTGCTTGCGACCATAGTGGCACAGTTGACACAGTTTAGCTAATAGTACATCTCCAGTGCGTGGTCTTTAGCCAGTTGACTGCCTTGAAGACTGTAAATATGCAATGGTGGACCTGGTTCCCTTTCACCAGCTGCTGTATCTATGTAAAACTATCCTCTGAATCACTTTCAGTAGTCCCTTCGATGCGCTACATGGCATCTAGAGTCAGCTTCTCCCGGTTGTCTCCTGCAAAGTTGCGCTGAGTAATAGTCCGTGCT